AGTATTTAATTTACCAAAACTGAAGAAACTTTTTTTTTTTTAATGTTTTATAGCTAGCCAGGATACAACCAATGTTTACAGACTGGCATATTTTCAAGTTGGTTGGGCCTGTGGCATACTGGCCATTAATTTTTTTTTTTTTTTTTTTTTTTTTGGGACGGGGTTTCGCTCTTGTTACCCAGGCTGGAGTGCAATGGCGCGATCTCGGCTCACCGCAACCTCCGCCTCCCGGGTTCAGGCAATTCTCCTGCCTCAGCCTCCTGAGTAGCTGGGACTACAGGCACGCGCCACCATGCCCAGCTAATTTTTTGTATTTTTAGTAGAGACGGGGTTTTACCATATTGACCAGGATGGTCTCGATCTCTTGACCTCGTGATCCACCCGCCTCGGCCTCCCACAGTGCTGGGATTACAGGCTTGAGCCACCGCGCCCGGCCGGCCATTAATATTTTTAAATCCTATCCTTGTCTATAACTATTAATAAAAAATAAGTCTAAAATATGCTTACAAAGTAAACAACAGCTTTGTGCTTTGTTAAAATCGAGACCAACCAATCATTGAAAGGACAGAATAGCTTAATATTATCTCAGTTCTCATTGAAAGCAAAACACAAAAGCAGCAGAGGGTTAAGTGGGAGGCAGTCCGTTTCATGAAACTAGAAATACCTGTATCTGAGTGGAAAGAGAAAGGAATATTCCTCCCTTGCATTCCATCACAACACTCATAGATTTCTCATGTTTTACATTAATTTCCCACTTGGTTTTAGTTGTTGTTGTTGTTATTGTTGTTGTTTAATCTTCAAATAATTTTTATCCAGAATCTGTCTTTGGGTCTTTCTCTATTACTAATTTGTATCATCTCAATGAATGATGTCATCTATTGCCATGGCTTCAACTGCCACTCATATCATAACAGACACCCAAATTTATATATCTAAACATAATCACTTTCCTAATCTGCATACTCATGTATCTGAAGTTTCAAAAAAAAAAATCTCTCAAGAATTCTCCACATACATTGCATTGAAAACTCACCGTCCAAAGCTGAACTCCTGAATTTACCACCCTTCTGCTATCATGACCCTCTGCCTTCATTTCACATCTTGCTGAGTGGGACCATGACCCAAGTTTTCCAATGCAAAAGCCCACACATCATCATTGGTATCTTACTCTTTATTCCCATCATCCTACAATTGACCAAATCTTTTTCTTTCCTTTAGAGTTGGGGTCTCGCTCTGTCACACAGGCTGGAGGGAAGTGGTGTGATCTCAACTCACTGAAGCCACAACTCCCAGACTCAGGTGAGGTTCCCACCTCAGCCTCCAAAGTAGCTGGGACCACAGGTGCACGCCACCATGCCTGGCTAATTTTTTTATTGCAGAGACGGGTGTCTCACTATGTTGCCCAGGCTGATCTCAAACTCCTGGACTCAAGTGACCCTCCCCTCTGACTCACAAAGTAGTTGGATGACAGGCGTGAGCCACCACATCTGGCCCAGCTGACCAAATTTTGATGATTCTATCTCCTTAGTGCCTCACTACTAAAATTCTTTCCTTTCCATACCCATGATCACAATTGTATTTTGCATATTGATTTATCCCCCGTATTACTTATGAAAACTTGGCTTCTGTAGTCATTCACAACCCTGCCGACCACTGCTGACCACTCTACCATGTCTATGCTATTCTTTCACCTGGAACCCTCCCTTATCTCCATCCCCATCAGAGTTATCCTAGTCAAAAAAGTTTTCTGCATAATCCACTTTCATTTCTGAACCAAGTATTGAAAAAATACCCTTCTTTGACCTTTCATAATTCCACTTTTATTCCATATAGCATTTATCCAAATCTGTATACTTGCAATCTCTCTAACTGGACTAGGAGACCCTTAAGGGCAGTATTTCTGTCTTTTAGGCAATACTGATATCTATGTAATCCTTAACATACGGTCCCCTTCAAGAAACATTCATTGAATGAATGAATGAATAAATGAATGATTCATTTACTTATTGAGCATCAGTGGCATGACAGACACTATTCTAAGTGATAATGACATTTTAGTGAACCAAATAGAAAAAAATTTATCTAGCTTCATGGAGCTTATTTTGCAATGAGTGTGTGAATAGGTAATAAGCTGACTGGAAAAGAAACTAGTCAGAGGAGGAGAAAATTCTAAATGGAGCTCAAGTCACAAAGCACTACTGCTTTCACTCTGACCTTTCTCTTCTCACAATCCGCCAAACCTAAACCTTGGAGAAATATCACCGATTTTTGTACTGTTGTTTTGACATCTATATATCTTCTCTGGTGAAGTGTCTATACAAATAATTTAATCATTTTAACTATCTTTTACTTATAGTTTTCTAAGATCTTTGGTCTTGAACTTGGGGGGTGGGAAAGTGAGAACCCTCTAGAAGGCTTAGGTGGCCCAGAGGGGCAGCCATAGCCCTGAAGCTGGCAGCTGGGGGGAGGCAAATCAAGGACCCTCCCCTCAGTCCTGAGGAAAAGGTATTTGGCTCAGTCTCCTGCCCTGACTCCCCTCCTGTGAAGAGATGGGGTCCTCATGTCTTCATCTCCTTCTGTGGCCCAGAGGCCATTCCTGGTTGAGCCTCTGGAAGAAGCTTTTGCAGCACTTATAAAGGCTGATCATTATGGCACTGGACAGGGCAGCCTAAAGGACCCTCGGGAGGAAGTCTGCAGAGTCCCCTGGTGCCCCACTGGGCCTGGTGGAGTCAGTGCACTGGGTGGGGCATCACTCTCACAGCTTCCAGGGCTCCCAGGGCAACCTGCCATTGAGTCTTCACCACGTAAAGCGTAGGGTCAGGACCACATACACCATCCCTGAGACTCTGATGGCCGCAAAGGTGACACCTGCTTACATATAGTCCTTTGGCATTCAACCAGTTCTTCTCCAGCTCAGAGTTGGACCAGTGCAGGGCTGAGAAGGACACATTTGGAAGGGCAGTGGGGCCCAACTCCGCCACAGGAAGCACCAGCTGCCCTAAGCCACCACAGGTGGACACAGGTGCCGAGCTCATGGCAGGTCATGTGCTGAGCTTTCAGCTTTGTCCCCACAAGCTCCAGCCACCAAGAGTGCGCAGAGATCAGAGGTCAGGGCTCTGTCACACAGGACGTCTTGAAGTTTGTTGTAAGCTAGTGAAGTAGATGGTGGTGGCTGGCAGGGCCATCACCAGGGTAGCTAGGAGGCTGCTCACCAGGGCCCTGGTGTCCTAATGCTTCACAATCTTCACAAACGCACCTATGGTGCCAGTGAAGCGGGTCCTGGGGGCACAGTGGACACTATTTGGAGCCAGGTGCAGGGGCTCCAGGACACCACTGCAGTACAGAAGGCCCTGCCCTGTGGCTCGTGGGGAGGAGGGTGATTTGGTGTAGGAGAGGTCCAGAGACTGGAGCAAGGCGTCAGCCACAGCAGGTCGCTCAGAGCACAGCTGGACCTTCACCACGTCATGGGGTGTCATGGAGATGGAGGTGACCGCTGCAGAAGGCCACCACTTGCTGGACGAGGCTAATGCCCTCAGGTCCTGCTCAGCCGCCTCCTGGCTTCAATCTTGCCTCTAGGCCTGGCTGGCACGGTGGTGCTCGGGGGCAGTGCAGGATCCGCGCACGCTCACGTCCTGTCAAGGCCCACTCTGAGAGCACTGCTGAATTTGATTTGCTGATATTTTGTTCAAAAAAATTGTTTCTATTTAGGGAGGATATTCGTCTACAGTTTTCTTTCCTCCAGTCCTCCACATGCTTGTCTAATTTTTATGTTAGAGTAATTCTGGCCTCATCAAATGAGTTGGGAAATTCTCCTTCCTTGTTGAATTTCTGGAAGAGTTTAAGTGGAATAGGTATTACATTGCCCTTAAATGTTTGGTAGAATTTACCATGAAAGTGTGGGTTTTTCTTTGTGGAAAGGCTTTTTAACTGCAAATTGAATTACTTTAATAGATATAGGGCTAGTTAACCTTCCTTCTTAACTGGACTGTGGAATTGTCTTTCAAGAAATTTGTACACTTTATATGTTATAGAATTAATGAGCAGAAAAATGTTTAATATTCACTTATCCTTTAAATGTCTGTAGATCTGTATTACTTTTCCTACTTTTATTGCTGATATTGGTAATTTGTGCCTTCTCACAGTTTGGGGGAGTAATCCATTTTGTTGACATGTTAAAAGAGCTTTTGGTTTATTTTTCTCTGTTCCCTTTCTATTTTCTATTTCATGGATTTCTGCTTTTTTCTTTATTATTTCCTTTCTTCTGTTGGCTTTGGAATTAATTTTTCGTATTTTTTAAATTCTAAAGGTGGAATATTGGATAACTTATTTTAGACCTCTCTTTTCTAAACAGCATTTTATAAATTCCCTCAAAGCAGTATTCCAATAGTAGCAGAAATTTTGCAATGTAGCATGTTTATTTTCATTCAATTTAAAATATTTGCGAATTTAGACTATAATTTCTTCTTTAACTTATGTGTTATTCATAAGCGCATTTTAAAATTTTGCTATATTTGGGAATTATCCAGATATCTTTCTGTTGAATTTTTAGATTTATTTGTGGTTAGAGAACATGCTATGTATAATTTAAATTATTTTAAACACTTGGACTCTTTTGGCCCAAAATGTAGTCTATCCTGGTGACTGTTCTATGTGCACCTGAATATTTTTTTCTATTGTTGAGTGTGGTATTCTACATATGCCAGTTATTTCAATTTGGTTGATAGTGCTCTTCCAGACTTTTTATATCCTTACTGATTTTTCTCTAAATATTCCAGTATCTACTAAGAGAAGTGTGTTGACACTTTTGACTATAATTGAGGATTTGCCTATTTCTTCTTTCAATCCTGGCAGTTTGAGGCGGGAGGGTCAGGAGACAGGGAACCTAAGGTTGATTCACGTTGATTTCCTAGAAAAAAATCAAAAGGAAAACCCCACCTCTCTACACCCAAGTAACAAAAGGATCAGAGCCTACCCCTTTGTAAAACCCTCCACCCCTTTTCAGCATTGAAGATGAAAAATGAAAGTACCTTTGATTGGGTCCCTCCTGAAACCAATCAGACTGATCACAGGCCAAGTCTTTATGTGTAACTTTGTAATTTTACTTCAGCCTCTCTGATTGGTCACCTTCAGCAACCAATCAGACTGGTCACAGGCCATTACTTCATTTACATAAGGTGCAAACCAAGTAACCAATGGGAAACCCCTAGAGGGTATTTAAACTCCAGAAAAGTCTGTAACCAGCCTCTTGAGCTGCTTTCTCTCACTCCCACTTTGTGGAGTGTACTTTAGTTTCAATAAATCTGTGCTTTTTTTTTTTTTTTCATTGCTTTGTTTGTGCGTTTATCCAATTATTTGTTCAAAATGCCAGGAATCTGGACACCCTCCACCAGTAATAGGTAACAGTTTTGGTTCTGTGTATCTTCAGATCTGTTACTAGGTATGTATGTATTTGGAATCATATGTCATCTTATTGCTTTTGATCTCATCAACATTATGTAATATTCTTTATCTTTGTTGTAGTAACTGACAGAATTTTCTTTCACTATAAAAAAATGTCACTTTATCATCTTCTGATCCGCAAAGTTTCAGTTGTGAAATTATCATTCTTATTGTCTCTAAACTCTTGGATGACCTGTTATGTTATTTTTTATTCTTTTTTATTCTTTGTAGTTTAGTTGGGGTAATTTCTGTTACTCTATCTTCAAGTTCACTTGATTTTTTTGTTTTTTTTTTTTTCCATCCTGTGTCCAGTTTCCTAATAAGCGCATGGAAGGAATTCTTTATTTCTGATATCGTGGTTTCATCCTTGTCATTTCCATTTGACCCTTTAAAAAATTTTTCATCTCTGAAAAATTTCAGCATATATCAATGCATGTTTTTAAAATTTCCAGTTTCTTTGACATATTAAAGAAGTTATTTTAAGTTTCTCACCAATAATTCCAACATCTTGAACACACATATATGAGTTTTTTTCCGCTAATATTTTTTCTGGCAACAGGTCCTTTTCTTGTTTTTTGTGTGTTTGTCTCTTATAATTTTATTGAATGGCAAACGCTGTATGTCAGGCCAGCATGGAGATACCTCTTCTGTAAATCTATTAAAATGAGGTGTTGAGCTAGTTTATGTTTCACTGTTCCCGTAGTCACCTTTAATACACTTCACATTCTCCCAGTGATGTGCAGGGTCTGGGGAGCAGGAGGGTTTTTATTAGTGTTCTGTTCTGATTTCAGCAGGCCCTGCACACCTGTACTGTGAAAGGGTTCTCTCTCTAAACTCTTGACCCTCCTCTCTTGTGCCTTGTTATGTGAAAATAATGATAGTGTTGGGAGGAAAGAGAAATTCTAATGTATTTTGGCTTATTCGCAGTCTTGGGCAAGGCCCTGTGTACCTTGGCCTCAGGAGTGTGGCTTCCTTGGCATTCCTCAACGTCCTCCTCAGCAGTCAAGCTCTTCTTGTATCTGCGGGGAATCTTGGGCAGGAAAGAATTTCTCCTCTGCAGGCGTAGCAGATCTCTGCCTGTGTCACTGTGGGATCCTTGACCCCAGAGGGTTTCCTGCTCTTCTCTCAGTTTGAACATGTTTTGCTTCTCCCATTCCTTCAACAGCAGAATGTTTTTGTGTAGGATCAGTAACGGGGGATTTTCTGCCCCTCTTCAAGCTGTAGACTGTTTTTGTGTGTTGCTTGGTGCAAGGCTTGTGGTGGGAGGTATGGTGGTTTCCTCCTCTTTTCTCTGCTATAAATAAATTTTGTTTCTAGCTTTCTCTTTGCATCACTTTACATTCTCTAAGACCAGGAGAAAAACAGGTTTATCCTACCCTTCCCCCAAGGGAAGAAACGTTTTGCTTGTACTGCTTCTCTAAAAGCACTCAAACTCTGTCTGATTCCTGGGAGCAGGAGGGTTTATTGGCCCTCCCTAAGCATATTAAAGGTTTTGCTTCAAGCGAGAAAAGGTGCAGGGAAATGCTGAGGTTTCCTGCCTTGACGTCGGCATGGCTAAGGGGCTTTCTCTGGCTTTGCCCTGCCCCAGGCCTTCTAATGAGCTCCCACTTGAGGCCTGTGGAAACAACCTGGAGACTCCCCTTGCAGCTAGGATTCTGAGTGACACATGAAAGCCAAACAGAGCTTAAGACTTTGTTCAAAATTTAGCGATTATTTTACTTTTATGGCTGCCACCTTTTCCTCTTATGCTCGGCCAAAAATAAAACGATCTGTGAGTCCCATCTCTCCTTAGTGGTGCATGTGCCCCTTGGAGTTCAGTTTAAGTGGTTGCCTTGTGACATCAGCACTCTGATGTGCTCAGATAAAGTTAGATTTTACACATTATCTGGATTTTTCTTGTTGTCAGATAAGAGCAATTATCTCTGTGGCTTTTTGTTTTCTAAGCACAAGTCCATGCAAGATGACTTTTCCTTAACTAGTGCAGTTTCTGTTAAAACACTATTTTTGAGTTATAATATCGCTCTGCTGGAATAAAGTCCTTTGTAAAAATATATTTCTGGATGGTTTTCAATGATGGCACTCTACTAAGTGAATTGTAGGTTACATTTTATATATTTTATTTCACATGCTTATAAAATAATAAGAATCTGTGATAATTTTTAACTAAAAATCGAATCAAAATAAGAAAATCAGGCATAGAAAATGAATGGTGATGATCTTAAATTGATTTAAATATAATTCATACTATATTAATTTTCTAGTTAAATTCAAATGGTATTCATCATATATTAAACATATATTTAAATGTGCACTAGTATAATATATATATTATACACATTTAAATATATGTTTAATATATAATGAATACCATTTGAATTTAACTAGAAAATAGTATATGGGGAGGGAAATCAATCTCTTAAAAAGTGGTGGTTAGTGTTAGCAAAAGGCACACAGGGCTCAATAAATATTTGTGGAAAGAAAGAATGTCTGAGTGAACAAATGTATGTGTGAGTTAATATCCAAATATAGAGAGACAGAGTTATAGGGATAACAGCCCAGCTGTTTTCTTATTCTCAAGGTTTTTCCCTCCCTCTCATTCATATCCCAGCCAGGCACTCTTTCTTGATAATTTGCAAAGAAAATACTCTGAAGAGTCTGAAGTAAAAGTTCACTTGTTGAACCCAATGTTTTCCCCCAGGCATTGGGAAGGGGAAGGCAGAAAAGCAGACTGCAAGATCAAGTGGTAGTGGATGCTAACAGAAAACCTTTGGACAGGATGGGACAGAAACAAAGTCATGCATCTTCTATCTATCTGTCACCTGTGGACAACTTGCCACTTCAACAGTTCTGGATGCTTTTAAATCCCCTAAGGAGAAGGTAGGAAACTTGGACACCCTGTGTGGGATTGAGAATCACAAAGGGACAGTCTCGCCACCTGGTCAAGAGAGAACTGAACTGAATTTCTTCATTCACAAGTGGGATTCTCGTAAGAGCAAGGAAAGCAGGTACCATCTGTCATTACCCACAGCAGGAAGGGGTGAATCTTAATGAGGGAAGAAAACAGATTCTATTAGTGGAAAAACATTTAATCAGAAAATAAGGCTCTGGAAAGAAAAGGCAAATTGGGGCTTTGTCCTAAGATATAACAGAATATTTTTCTGCCAGAGAAAGCAATTCCAAGGAAGGAATTTTCAGATTGCTCAAGAGTACTGGTAAGCATTATTAGTACTTTCAGTGGGAAATAATTGAAAATAAGCTGGAGCGAAAGTTCCCCAGGTGTAGTTCCAGGACCAGCAGCAAGTATCACCTGGGAACTGTTAGAAATGCGAATTCTTGGGCTCTATGCCTGAATCACTAAATCAGAAACTCTGAGATGAGGCCCAATAGTCTGTAGTTTAACAAGTTCTCCAGGGGATTTTTATGCCAATTAAAGTTTGAAATCCCCTGGTGCTAGCGCTGGAAGCAAATGAGTCACAGCGGTGAAGAATTCCTACCATTAATCCCCTGGCTGGGATAAATAAAAATGAGAAGCTAAAAAGTTAAATGATCAGAGGTTGACCATAGTTCAAAAGTAAGGATATACCTGAATATAAAATTCTTTCTTAACCTAGATACAAATGGGAATATGTTGAATCATTTCTTTAACATCTCATTGGTTTTTTTTTCTAGCTTAAATGAGGTATAATTGACAAAAGTTGCATATATTTAAAATGTCCCTGATGTTGTGGTATACATATACAATGTGAAACAATTACCGCAATGAAGCTTACATAACCATCACCTCACCTAGCCACCATTTTTGTGTGTATGTGGTAAAAACCCTTAAGACCTACTCTGTTACCAAATTTCAAGTATACAGTACGTTGTTATTAACTATAGTCACTTTGCTGTACATTACATCTCCAGATCTTACTCATCTTCTAATGAAAAGGTTGACTAACTTCTCCCCCAACCTCCACCCCCTGTTAACCCCCACTCTACTCTCCCTTACTGTGTGTTCGGCTTTTTTAGATTCCACATACAAGTGAGATCATTCAATATTTGTCTTCCGGTGTCTGGCTTATCTCACTTAGAATAATGTCCTCCAAGTTTATCTATGTTGTCACAAATAGCAGGATTTCTTTATATATTTATAAAATAAAAACTAGACTGAATTATGCTTTATATTTCTTTCGTCATCCCAATTTTTGATACCTGAAAATGATAATCTCCAGGTTGAGGCTAATAGAGGATTGCCTCTCACCCGATGATGATAATATCAAGAGCAGGCACAATGCTGATAGGGGGTCAATTTATAGCCTAGACAAAGAGCTCTAATCTCATTCTCAGTGATGCATTCCACTAACTCCTCCACCTAGTGGATTTACACTGGCATTTTTTCATGCCCACTAGGTTCTTCCCAGTACCTCACCTTTTCAGCCCACTTTCACTGGCAATCCATTGGTTAAAACTCAGCCAATGTCATCATATCATTTTGTCAAAGCATATTCAAAACAATAATAAATTATATATAAATAATAAATAATATCTAATAGCAAATAATAATAGAAATCATAATAAATAGTATATAAAATATATAATTTAATAACAAGTGAATTCTAGGTTACTATGCCAACTCAATCCTCCAACCTCATGAGAATTGAAAATCCATTATCAAAAACACTGTGAAAATACAGCATAAAAGTAGACCCAGATATTTCCTGAGAAGTTAACAACACCTAGCCCACCCGAGGAAGAGCTGCAGCTGGAGCTACTTGGGCTCTGTGAGCTAAAACCACACAGGAAGTCTCAAACACAGGTGCTCACTTACTGTGTGCTGGGGGCCCAGGTGACCCTGACAAGACGTCCTCCTCTCTTCTCCCTCCTTCATCCAAGGTCTAGGAACAAGGCAGAAAGTTAATTCTTAAAATAACAGGGATTTAAAGGAGGCTGAGGCAGGAGAATTGCCTGAACCCTGGACGCGGAGGTTGCGGTGAGCCGAGATTGCGCCATTGCACTCCAGCCTGGGTAACAAGAGTGAAACTCCGTCTCAAAAAAAAATAAATAAATAAATAACAGGGATTTAAGATATACCTTTAAATCTTTGGCTTGCTTTAAATTTGGCCTTTTGAGTATGGATTCTCTCTATAGGTTTCCAGTAAGAAACATTCGCTTGAGAATGTGATATTGTACTAGAGCATCTAAAAATTGAAAATAGAAAGTTTGGACCCAGATTGGTGGTTTTTGTTTGTTTGTTTGTTTGTCTTTTGAGAGTTTTCCTTCGCATTTTTAAAAATGATTTCTTAGAGTCATACTTTACCTTAGATTCCATATTTTTGTAAAGTATCGACTTGGTTGGTTGATTTACTGAAAGTGAGAAAATAATTCCTTTTATTGTTGACTCTCCTCAAAAATAAGCATTGGCCAATTCTTTGTGCTGTCATTCATATTCCATGATTTACCAGCTGTATCAAACCAATATATAGAAAAATCATGTGCTTCAAACACAGTTTTTGGGGGGTTGGGTTTTTTTGTTATTGTTGCTGTTTGACATATATCATCTTATCTAATCCTCCAAAATGATGTTCATGTTTTAGAGATGAAGAATTAGGGGCATTAGATGATTCACAAAAAGCCACTCAATTGACAAATGCACATCTATATTTTATGTAGTCTATTTTAATTCTCACTTATACTTTTATAGGCAGGAAGAAGAGGATAAATTATGTGATCATTCTCACCCTACTTTTCTGTAATTAAGAAATGTTTGTCAAAAATTTTTTTAAAAAGGCCTTTCCATACAAATCACTTTGTTTTTTACATTCACCCAGGCTGGAGTTAGTGGCACAATCTTGGCCCACTGCAACCTCTGCCTCCCAGGTTCAAGCGATCTTCCTGCTTCAGTCTCCCAAATAGCTGGGACTACAGGTGCATGCCACCAGGCCTGGCTAATATTTGTATTTTTAGTAGAGACAGGTTTTCACCATATTGGCCAGGCTACTCTCAAACTCCTGACCTCATGATCCCCCTGCCTTAACCTCCCAAAGTGCTGGGATTACAGGCATGAGCCACTGAGCCCGGCCCCACACAAATTTAACTATGAGTTACAGGAACAGAACTGGGACAAGCTGGATGTTTATCTCCAGGTGGTCACTGTGAGTTTGCGGTGAATGACAAGAGCGGAAGCATCTAATACCAGGGCTGTAAAGTAGGCAGATTGGGAGTTTTCTGGAGAACTGTGTGGAATGGGGAGAGAGCTACTAAAGTGTCATTTTGCAGCCTAAATAAGGAAGGGTGTTCACTCTCCTTGGCCCATTGAAAGCATTTTTGCATCCACCCTTCAGCTTTCAAAATGATTGCTCAGTGATTCTGTCATCAGAATTGCAACTTCAGTGTTTGGCAAGCTGGGAGTCTTCCATCAGACCCTCAGCATAAACTCTTCTGTTCTTTTTAGAAAAGAGATTGTATAATCTCCCTAACATCCCCTTAAGTTCACACCTTAAAGTCCTAACAATACCTTAGCCGGCTATGGAGCTCCAGACTCTTCAAACCTCAGTGCTTGTTCATACTAATTCAATCATCTGCTTCTAGAAAGAGGAAACCCATCTTAAAAGACAGCTTTCCAAAGATAACTCCTCCTCTCCAGAAAGAGCTACCTGTACATATTTTTCCTCTTCACATATAAACTCTGCTGTGTTAAAACACTGAGCTCTAGAGAAGAGGGGGAATCTTGTGTAAACCCATATTATTAAAAATTATCTCAGCCTCACAATCCAAATGCTGGAAAAATCAAACAATCAAGATTTTTTTTAAACAGTATTTTCTACCATAATATACCTTAATAGCAGCATCAGTAATCCATTTCTCACAGGTAGATAATAACTTTTCCAACAGAGAAATACCTGTAACCAATGTAAATGTTTTTTACTCATGTGCCATATTTACTGTTGGAAATCATTATACAATGAAAAATATGTACAAAGTTCAGTAAGCCACATAAACCAAATATTATAGAATAATTCAAATTGGAAGAGTTGTGACTATCAAACAGGAAGAAGAAAGTTTATTATACCATTATTAGTCTTAGCATTGTTTTTGTTATATTATTTTACAAAATATCTGTTTATAAAGCTCTCAATCCAAGTTGATCACACATTCAGTGAAGGCAGAAATTATGGCTTACTCACTTTTGAACCATCAACATACAGTGCAATGTCTGGCATACAAAAACCGCTAGATAAATAATTACTAAATGAATGCTTTTTCTTTGATTTTTGTGTTTTGTCTGGGACAGGGTTTCACTCCGTTGCCCAGGCCACAGTGCGGTGACCTGATCGCAGCTCAGTAACCGTCTACTTTCAATTGTTTCTGGGTCTCAAGCAATCCTCCCATCTCAGCTCCCTGAGTAGCAAGAATTATGGGCATGTGCCACCATGTCCAGATAATCTTTAAAATTTTTCCGTTGTAGAGACAGGGTCTTGCTATGTTTCCTAGGCCGATCTCAAACTCCTAGCCTCAAATGATCTTCCCACATTGGCCTCTCAGAGTGCTGAGATTATAGGCATGAACCACCATGACTGACTGAATGAATGCATATTTTTGTGGTTTAACATAATAGAAGACAAACAAATTTAAATTTTAAGTACTAAAAAGCTTTTAATTTTTTTGACACAGAGTCTTGCTCTGTGGCCCAGGGTGGAGTGCAGTGGTGCCTTCTTGGCTCACTGCAATCTCAGCCTCCCGAGTTCAAGGGATTCTCCTGCCTTAGCCTCCTGAGTAGCTGGGACTGCAGGTGTGAGCCACTACACCCAGCTAATTTTTGTATTTTTTGGTAGAGATGGGATTTCACCATGTTGGCCAGGCTGGTCTTGAACTCCTGACCTCAAGTGATCCACTTG